AGGCGGCGGAACCACTGAGCTAAGTCCCCAGCCCAAAGTTTTCAATTTGTTTTTTTTTTGGTACCGGGGATCGAACTCGGGTCCTTTCGCTTGCGAGGCAGGCAGCGGAACCACTGAGCTAAATCCCTGGCAAGATTACAGTCTTGATGGGCATCCATTTACCTACAAATATCTCAAGCTCATCCTTCTTTATGGCAGAGTAGTACTCCGTTGAATTAATCCACCTCTTCTTTATCCATTCATATGTTGGGCATTTGAGCTGTTTCCAAGATTTAGCTATTACAAATTGTGCTGCCATAAACATGGGTGTGCATATATCGCTGTGTTATGATGCTTTTAATTCTTTCATGAATACTACAAGCAGGGAATCGCTGAGTCAAATGGAACCTCCAGTTTTAGTTTTGTTTTGTTTTTTTTGTACCTGGGATTGAACTCAGGTCCTTGCACTTATGAGGCAGGTGGTGGCACCACTGAGCTGAATCCCTGGTCCCTGGTTTTAGTTTTTTGAGGAATCGCCACACTAATTTCCACAGGGGTTGCACCAGTCTACACTCCCACCAGTAGTGGAGAAGGGTTCCTTTTCCCCCACAGCCTCATGAGCATTTGTTACTGGTTGAGTTCTTGATAATAACCATTCTTTTGGAGTGAGATGTAACTCAGCATTGTTTTAATTTGCATCTCTTGATTGACCGGTGATGTTGGACATTTTTTAATATATTTATTTCTACAAGAAATTTAGAGATCTAATCCCACTATTCCTCAAACTCTTTAATGAATTGAAGGGGATGCAATACTCCCTTCCGCATAGTTAGGGCCTACCTACCCACTCTCATTGCTGGAAGCAAGCCTTACCCTGCTACTAAAAATAGACAAGGATCCAACCAAAAAAGAGAACTACAGGCCTGTCTCCCTAATGATCATAGTTGCCAAAATCCTCAGTAAGATACAGTATACCCTCCGAAGTCACAGTACAGAGTTCACAGCCTTGGTGGTTTGGGGATTTTTCCTTAGAACCTAATAATTGTTCTTGAAAACCCCACAATTTCTCGAGAGCTGCAAATACCCTCCACAATTTTTTGGGGGGGCGAGGGCTTTGCAAGTAGCCAATCCGAGAGCACTATTCAGTTCTCCTTGCTGCTGGCTGGCAGCTGCCCTGTAACCCATCTCCGACAGATGGCACTAGCATTCTGGCATCCTATCAGGTTGCTATACTTAGTGTACTATCTCAAGTATTCTTGGTTTTCTTCTTCTTAAAGCCCTAAGATCTCTAAGATGCCTCCAAAATGCCCTGCACCTTCTAAGGCTTTATTAATACAGTATTTTATTAAATTAAATTACTTAACTGTGGGAGACATACCATATTTAGGGTTTAAACTATAAAAATAGGCATTTACAGGCATTTTTCTGACCATATGTGAAATTTGCGGTTTTTCACAATTCACAGGTGCTCTAGAAATGTAACCCCTGTAAATTTCAGAGGTCCACTGTACTGGCAAACAGAATGCAGCAATCATCAAGAAGATCCTACACCATGACCAAGTAGGTTTCATCCCAGGGATGTAGGGATGGTTCACCATACACAGATCAATAAATGTAATGCACACATTCAAGGAACCAAGGACGAAAACCACATGATCATCTCAATACATGCAGAAAAAGCATCTGACAAAGTCCAATACCCACTCATGATAAAAATCCTACAGAAAATTGGAATAGATGGTCTTTATCTCAATTTGATAAAAGCCATCTGTGAAAAACCAACAGCCAACATCATACTAAATGGAGAAAAATGGAAAGCTTTCACTCTAAAATCAGAAACAAGACAAAGATGTCCACTGTCACCACTCTTATTCAATATAGTTCTGGAAACCATAGCCAGAGCAATTAGATAAGAAAAATAAATAAAAAGAATAAGGATAGGAAAGGAAGAAGATAAATTACCATTATTTGGAGATGACATGGTACATAGAAGACCCCAAAAACTCCACCACAAGACTTCTTGATTTAAAATCAACACTCAAAAATCAATAGCATTCCTGTACACGCGTAACAAATTCACTGAGAGAAATTAGGGAAACACACCTTTCACAATAGCATAAAAAAAAAGAAAATAAAAAGAAAAACTTAGGAGTCAATCTAATGAAGGAAGTAAAAAACCTTTACACTGAAAACTGTGGTACTCTGAAAAAGGAGATTGACGAGGATATCAGAAAATGGAAAGATATCCCTTGTTCTTCGGTAAGCAGCACCAATATGGTGAAAATGGCCATACTTTCAAAATTGTTATACAGATTTAATGAATCCCCCATCAAAACACCAATAGCATACCTCACAGATTTAGAGAAAACAATCCTAAAATTCATTTGGAACCCTATATTTTCTTCTAGCAGTTTCAGTTTCAGGTCTGATACCTAGGCCTTGATCCATTTGGAATTGATTTTTGTATGGGGTTGGAGTTAGGGATCTAGTTTCAATCTTTCACATATGGATATCCAACTTTCCTGGTACCATTTGTTTAAAAAGCTGTCTTTTCCCCAACATATGTTTTTGGTCCCTTTGTCAAGAAGCAGATGGTTGTAGTTTCATGGCTGTGTTTCTGTGTACTTTATTCTATTCCGTTGGTGTATGTGTGAATTTTTGGGCCACTAGCATGCTGGTTTTGTTATAAGTTTGTAGTGTATGTGGAAATTGGGTATTGTGATGCCTCCAGTTTTGCTGCTTTGCTTAGGATCGCTTTGGTTTTTCTGGATCTTTTGTATTTCCACATGAATTTTAGGATTGTTTTTACTAGGTGAAGAATGTCATTGGAATATTTTGGGGTTTTTTTTTGTATTTGTTTGTTTGTTTCTTTGTCATTCTGGCTGGCCTTGAACTTGTGGCAGTCCTCCTGCCTCAGCCTCCCAAGTGCTAGGATTATAGGCATGTACCACCATGCCTGTCTTGTCTTTGGAATTTTGATGAGAGTGCATTGAATTTGTAGATTGCTTTCAGTAATATGGTATTTAACAATATTAATTCTGCCAATCCATTAATATGAGAGGTCTTTTCATCCAATTTCTTCTTCAGTTCCTCTCTTTGGTGTTTTGTAATTTCATTGTAGAGGTCTTTCACCTCCTTAGTTAGGCTTATTCCTAGATATTTGTGTGTGTGTGTGTGTGTGTGTGTGTGTATGTGTGTGTGAAGCTATTATGAATGAAAGTGTTTTCCTGATTTCTTTCTCAGGTAATTCATTATTGGTATATAGAAAAGTTATGGATTTTTTAATGTTGATTTTACATTCAGTGTCTTGGGTTTTAACTCAAGGCCACATTCTTATCCCTAAGCCTTCTACTAAGTTTACAATTTAACAGAGGAGACCCATCTATAAATAAATAGCCAATTTAGGAGATGGTGAAAGAAGAAGGATTTGTTATCGATATGCCTCATGGCACAGACATGGCTTCACTAAAAGTCTTCTGAGTAGAGGCTGATATCTCTGAAGCTCATACTCTTACTTATAGTATAAACTTGATAGACAATGGGAATTTTCCCACAGACTGAAATTTGAGAGATGTCAGTGGATTGCTTTTTTTTTTTTTTTTAAAGTGAATTATACTTGCTTATATAGAAAGGATATTGATAGATGTGAGTATACAATAGAAAGGATCTGGAATCCCTTCATTCACCAGCACCCTGTCACACAAAACATGGCTTCTCTCTACTACTCTTCCCATTTGGATCTTTTTGTTTTGTTTCGTTTTGTTTTGTTTTTTGGTACTGGGGATTGAACTTAGGACCTTGCCTTCCCATTTGGATCTTTTTGTTTTGTTTCGTTTTGTTTTGTTTTTTGGTACTGGGGATTGAACTTAGGACCTTGCCTTCCCATTTGGATCTTTTTGCTTCTCTCGTTTATATGTGTGTCTTTGTGTTTCTCAGAATATGACTCCCAAAATATCTGGGCCTCTGGAGGAGGCTGCATGACACAGCAAATACTGTGTCTTCCTAGAAAAGAATCTACTGTCTCTGTCCTTTATTCAGCTCACACTTGTTCTGTGCTTTTCTAAAGTTTCTTGTTTTTCCAGTGGTTTCTGTGGTTGCATCTCTTGTGGTTGCAGCTGACCCCAATAAGAAAGAGAGCTCATTGAGAAATGGTCTCATGTCATTCTTGTAAATCCTCAAAAGCATCAAGTAAAGGGTTTGCCCACCCCCAACTCTCAATTGGAAATTTGGATTAGAAATGGTGTGGGTAGGGCTGTGGATGGAGAGAGGCACCAGGTGGAAAAGGGGGACACTTAGAATGCCAGGTTCTGGGGTGTAAGAAGGATTCGTGAGGAGTAAGGAAACTAGAAATGTGAAAGTGGATCCAGACCTGTTCATATCTCAGTGGGTGTTGTGGAGTGGTAGTAGAGGGAATAAGAAGGCTGAGAGAAGAAAACAGTTGGGCTGAACCAGACTCATGACTTCTTTTTTTTTTTTTTTTTCATACCAGAGATCAAACTCAGGCCCTTGTGCTTGCACAGCAGGCGGTGAAACCACTGAGATAAATCCCCGGGTCTGCATGACTTCTTTCCACAGTATGAGATGCTCCTTTCATATAAAGGTGGTGGTGACTCAGGTGCCAGGCTTATGAGTGACAGACAGCATGATGTACGTAGACAGAATTCCTGAGTCTTCCCTAGCAGAGGGGACTAGCTTTGGTGACTAGCTTCCAGGAAAAACAAATGAGAGAAATAAACCAGTAACAGATCTCTTTCTCTACCCACAGATAATCTATCTCCAGATGTTCTGGCCTGATAGCATCACCTACCGGCCCCCGGGACCCCGTCCTGTCTCTAAATTTGCTTCTAGCTTCATGGAACCTTCCTTCCTCTTGGATTCTCTCCCACAGGTGCTCAGCAACTTGACATCCCTTCTGTACTGGCCTCCAACCCCGGGAGATGGGGCGAAACTTTTGGCCTCCACCAGCCCCCAGACCTCCACCTACCACCTGAAGGGTCCCACCCAGGCCAGCTACACCCTGGGAGGCTACCTGGAGGCTGTCCTTGTGGCCAGGGACCACTGGGGCAGACCCAAGACCCATGGTGGAGATCTGTTTCGAGCACAACTACTGGGTCTGGAATTGAAAGCAGGGGTCCCGGGGGACGTCCAGGATCTGGAGAATGGCACATACCATTTGTCCTTCCCCCTGCTTTGGGCTGGGAGGGCCCAGGTGCAAGTGAGGCTGGTCCACTCCAGTGAGGCAGTTGGGGTTCTGCGAAGAATCTGGAGAGAGAAAAGAGCCACAGTCGATTTTAGAGGATATTTCCGAGGAATACAAGGGCATGAAGAGACTGTGATTTGCAATATTGACCCTCAGTCAACTGGTGCTAAAAGATCTACCTGCCAGTACAAGGATGCAGTTTCTGGTGAGCTCTGGTTCTGTGCTCAACCTCCTACCTTGCCCTGTGACTCTTTAGTTGGTCACTCAAGCGGGAGTTACCTAAAAGTAACGACACGACATGATGAGGACCTACTGGCATGGTAAGAAATTCTGGAATATGTATCTCAGCCCTAAGCCTCATCCTTCCTTCTAAACATTGCCCCAGTGATGCAGTGGCCTCCCACCATTTAAGCCATTCATTTATCGCTACTGTCATTCAATATATGCTTGTAGAGCACCTACTGTGTGACAGAAATTGCTAGGCAGAAACATACCACAGTAACCTGTTTAGGCTATACATGCAGAGAAGGTTACAGTAGATCTTAGGTTTAAAAGAAAGCTTCTCTGGGGAAGATAAGAGACAGGTATTCAAGACAAAGCAAACTATCTCAGGGCAAAAGTAGCTCAAGCTTCATTTACTTCTCTGGATTTTTGCCTTCATTTAGATTTTAATTTAACAATTCATTTTTATTTTGTTAGATATTCAATAATTTAAGTGAATTTCAAACTATTATGTCCAGAATTTTCAGTAAAGTTTATGGTGAATAACTAGATCTGCCATAGTACCAGAAAAGGAGCTCCCCATTCTATTTCATTAGTTTCTGATCATATCGTTAACATTCGTGTCTTTAACTTCTTCTAGAACCTCTTCCTTTTTTTCTAGTTTCATGATTCAGAACACTTGACCTATTTCAGTCTCCCTTTTATGGAATAAAAATCATCAAGGCTATCAACGTTCCTTCGAGTAGAGCGTTAGCTGCATTCTCCAAATTTTTATGTATAGGAGCTTTATTTTTATTCCATTTTATATATCTTATAATTTCTACAGTAATTATTTAGGAATTATTTTTAAAGTTTTCGAAATTTAAAAGTGGGCATCTTTTTATTGTTTTTTCCTAATTTATTTGCGTTTTGACTGGACATAAAATTTTTCTGATATTGATACTTTGAAATTTGTTTAGAATTCATTTGTGACCTGCCAGGCATGGTGGTGTATTCATGCAATCCCAGAACTTTGAGAGGCTGAGGTAGAAGGATCAAAAGTTCAAATCCAGCCTGGACAGTTTAGTGACCTAGCAAGAGCCTGTCTTAAAATTAGAACTAAAAATTTTTTTTGACTCAACAAATGATGCTGTTTTTTTGTTTGTAGTCCACATTTGCTTGAAAATAATTTATATCCTATGCTTCTGAAAGGAATTCTGAACCTATTTGATGTAGCTTGTTAATTTTTTAATCCCAAACATCTTTATCTTCACTGACCTTTTATATCTGCTTAATCTATTTGTTTCAGACATAAATGCATTATATAGTTTGCAGATTTATAGGTTTGATAATTTCTCATTGTAATCCAGCGGTTTTCCCTTTATACATTTCCAGGCTATGTTGATATACACATTCACCTTTTTCTTTGGGCTATTACTTATTATTCATTTTATTTTTTGCTTTTTGCCTAAACTTGTAATTTTTATGATATTAATATTGCTATAACAGCTTCAATTTGCTTGGTATTGTTATACCATTTCCCAGTTCTTTATATTTCAAATTTTCTGTATGAAATAGTTTTAGACAAGCTTCTTAACTTTGTAGCACCTGCTTAGGCATAGTTAAGTAGATCTTGGAAGGGACTAGATCCATGAATGTAACTAAATACACAAATATATATACACACACTATGTTTATATAAACATAGTAGGCATTCAAATAAACAGAAAAAATATTAAATAGCTAAGAAATAGAAAATTATATAATTGTATTGGAACCTTACACTATACAGAAAGATCATTGTCAGGAGGATTAAAGACCTAACTGTAAAAAGCACACCACAAAACTCAAAAAATATAAAAACAGAAAATACCTTTATGTCTTGGGATTGAGAAAATATTGTTTTAGTGTCATAAAGGAAAATACTGGTAAGTTAGGCTAATTTTAAAATCTTTGTTATAAAATGTTCCATAAACATAATGTAAGTCAGGCTCGCATAGATTTTGAGATAACATCTATAACACATATAATTGATACAAGAATAGTACTCTGAGTAAATAAAGAAATCCTATAAAACAATAAGAAAAAATGGTATGGATCAAGAGCCAGGTGTGCTGGTACATGCCTATAATCCCAGCACTCTGGCAGGCTGAGGCAGGAGGATTGTAAGTTTGAGCCCAGCCTGGGCAATTTAACAATTTAGAGCAAGACCCGGCCTAGAAAAATGGGCAAAAGATATAAATAAAAAAAAATCACAGAAAAAAAATGTGAATAGTGAATAAAAATATAAGTATATATTCAGCATCATGAACAATGAAGAAAATTTAAATTGAAACCAAAATATCATCTTTCAATAATATTTTTGAGACAGGGTCTCATTATATAGTTCAGGCTGGCCTTTAACTCACTATGTAGCTAGGCTGGCCTTGAACTCACAGCAGTCCTCCTGCTTCAGCCTCCCAAGTGGGATTACAGGTGTGCACCACCATGCCCAACTTCAAAGTTTAAAACCTTGCAACCAATTCTATTTCGTATTTTAGATACATTATATATCAAAGGTAGGGCCGGGTACGTAGCTCAGTGGCACCATGCCTGCCTGGCAAGTGCAAGGTCCTGAGTTCAATTGCTAGTACCAAAATAAGTAAATAAAGTAAAATGCATAAAATGTAGATGAGAATATAAACACTGTGTTGACAATAGTGACTTTATCTTTGTGAGGAATGGAATGGGAATGGACAGTGGTTAGGGGATGCCTTTGTGATATCTATAATGATCTTTTTCTTACTTCTTTTTTCTTTTTTTTAAAAAAACCTTTATTATCAAACACACACAAATACAAAAATTAACACCATTCAAAGAAAAATAATGCAAGGGAAAAAAACCTACAATAATATTCAAATACCATAGAACTCAACCAAAACAAAACTGAAAAGCACTTAAACATTTTTCCATATAATTTAAAAAAACATCTCAAGCACCTACAAGACACCAGAGGATGTAATTTGTTTCAGAAAGATCCCCAAAACCAACATTGAACAGATAATGGTCTGGAAAAAAACTCCAGTTAGCAGACTCTACATAAGGCAAGCTTCTCCCTAATTTAAATTTCAATACAGTCATATGACACGCGATGGAAACACAATCCAAGAAATATGTTATTAGGCCATTTCATTTGTGTGTATCCTTAATTACACTATCAGTTTCTCACACTAGGGAAACTATTTGGTATTTACACATACGTGTCCTGTTTATTTCACTTAAGAGGATGGGCTCGATATGCATCCATTTAGCTATAAATGACTCTAGTTTCTTGTTCTTTATGGCTGAGTAGTACTCCATTTTATAACAAAAAACACATCTTATTTATCCAGTCTCCAGTTAATGGGCACTTGAGCTGTTTCCAAGCTTTCGCTATTACAAACTGTGCCACTATAAACATGGGTGCACATATATCACTGTGGTATGATTCTTTTAATTCTTTTAGGAAGATACCCAGCAGGGGGATAGCTGGGTTGAATGGGACCTCTAAGCCTAATTCTTTGAGGTATCTCCATA